AGGTGAATCTGATGGCAACTACCCTTACTACCCCAACTACCGTCTATATTTCAGAGAGACCCCACTCCCACCCTTGGAGTTGAATCTGATGGCAACTACCCTTACTACCCCAACTACCGTCTGTTTTTTAAAGAGACCCCATCCCCACTCTGTGTTCATTCTATGCGCATGGTATACAATATGGGTATCGATTCCCATTAAATCACATGTTTTAAGCTTGTTTCTGGCATTCATAACACTCTCCGACCTTTACTATCCTCAACACCCACCTTCTGAAGAATGCACATTTCGTCGCCAAAAAAAAAGGCATTTTATACATACAGACTGCAGGATGGGGTTAAACCTTAATAAGTTAAAATTTACCAATCCTTGAAGGAGTAAACTCCACAGCACTCAAGTCCCGTCTGCATACCGTCCCACAGATATGTCAAGGATTTCGTGTAGAAGGAGGTTACCTCACCATACGATCTAAATATCAATATTACGTCAAATAACAAAAACTTAAACGTCCTGAACACCATCGATAACTAGTTAATAACATATATTTTAAATTACGATAAATAATTTCACTACGGGGTTTGTAGTGTGTAATTGCTAAAAAGAAATATCTTGACAAGTGTTCTAGGAAAATTTTAGAAATTAATATTTACAAAATTCATAGCGACCTTTAATAAATATAAAGAAAGTAGACGACAATCATATTTTCTAGTCACCCACTATATCAATTATTCAGAAAAATCTTCAAATTTTAAATAAGATTTCAGTAAGGGTTAATTCCTTCTTTTTCGATAATAGAAGTACAAACCGTGCATATTCAAGGCATGCAAATATTAGATTTAATATTGGAATGCCTAGATATGTCTATATATGCCTAGATATGCCTAGGATGAAAGGATTTTTGGTAACTAATAATTTTTAAACTAATAGTTTGTAAACTAATAGTTTGGTAACTAATAGTTTGGTAACTGATAATTTGGTAACTAATAGTTCGGTAACTAATAGTTTGGTAATTGATAATTTGGTGACTAACATTTTTGTAACTAGCAATTTGGTAACTAATAATTTGGTAACTAAAAATTTGGTAACTAATAATTTGGTAACTTGACAATTTGGTAACTGACAATTTGGTAACTAACAATTCGATAACTTGATGGTTTGGTAACTTAACGATTTGGTAACTAATATTCTGGTAACCTGACAATTTGGTAACTATCGATTTGGTAACCAACAATTTGGTAACCCCACAATTTGGTTGGGTTATGTTAAAAGATTTTTAAGTCGAGTGTTGCGGCTAGGACAGGCTAGGGGGGCGAGAACTGTGGTCATAAAATTTTCCAAACAAATACAATGATATCCAATTTGTAGGGTTAGGCATGGTTAAGACAATTTCTGGGCCGAGCGATGCGACTTAGACAGGCTAGGGGGCCGAGCGCTGCAGCCAATTATTTATAAAAAAAACCAATGATTTCCGATATGTTGGGTTAGGATTGGTTAAGCCAATTTCTGAGCCAAGCGCTGCGGCTAGGACATGCTATGGGGCCGAGCGCGGCGGCCATTTTTATTTTCCTAAAAAGTACTGGGGTCCGCAGAAAAAAAGCGGAAAACGTAGACGACCTTTGTTAAAAAATAAAGTGATCCGCGGAGATAAGTGGGAAAAGAGGACGACAATTGTTAAAAAATACAGAAGAAAGTGGAAAACGACGTTTGTTTAACAAAACATTAGTCCACAGAAAATAAACATACAAACAATGATTGTGAAACGCAAGTTTCAATCATACAAATTGTGTGTTACCAAATTATCGGTTACCAAATTGTCAGGTTACCAAATTGTCAGGTTACCAAATTGTCAGGTTACCAAATTGTCAGGTTACCAAATTATCAAGTTACCAAATTGATGGTTACCAATTGTTAATTACTAAATTGTTAGTTACCAAATTATTAGTTACCAAAAATACGCCCATCCTGCCTAGATATGCCTAGAAATGTCTGAATATGCCTAGATATACAGTTTGCCTGAATCTAGGCCGGTTGAGATTAAGTGTAGGCCTTACGGCCTGTATCCGGGCTTTATTGGCCTGAACACTGTAACCTTTGCATAAAAACTTCATCAGAAGGGAAAATATTTTAAATATGCAGTTTTTAAAAGCAAAGCATTAAGTTTACAACAACTTAATCTTATACATTTTTTTAACATCAAAAATAACCTGCCAAAATTGGCAAAGAAAAAATACAGAACTAACTTTTTGCAATTTAACAGCGTGAATCTTAGATATTTTATATTTCACAGTTTTAAATATGAAAGGTATACGTTTATTATATAAGGCCCTACATAGTGTACACTGTACAGTTCACAATTTGCGTGTTACGCACAAATATTTTAGAAATTATAGCTAGGGCGTAAGCATGGACGGGGGCAAAGGGCACCGTCCCACCCTTGACGCAGAAATGGAGCAGGGGGGTGTGGGGTAGAGGAATAGTACAAATTTAAAGATTAAAAAGGCCAAATATATATTTATATAGCAATATTTTTAAGAAAAGAAAGAAATAGTAAGTATTTCTAAAAATTAAATCAAATTTTCATTAATATGATTTTATAACAGGAATATTATTTTTTACTCACCCTGTCGTCTGCTTAGCTACAAGGCCGATAACATTATCAACTTCCGGTCTACACAAACATTAACGATTATTAAAAAATATTTTTCTTTGCCAAGAATTTATGCCTGTTTGAAGTAAAAACATAAATGGAAAGCATTTTATTATTGTACAACTTGACTCATGAAACTGTGGAATTGAACGACGACTGTAAAGACTCAAGTTGTGATTTGATATGTAAAGTGGAATAAAGACATGAAACAGATAATGTTCAGTATACGTAAAGTGGCTGGCGTTTTAATCAATACAATAAAGACGACCTTTCTATGCTACGATTTCTAAATCCCTTTATTCAAATTACAAGTTAACAAGTCAACAAAGAGAAGCTATTAATTTGGACCACTTACAAAACGTTTCCCTACAAAATGTTTCATTTACAAAACGTTTCCCCACAAAATGTTTCATTTACAAAACGTTTCCTCCAAAATGTTTCCTGCTTAAAAATGTTTCCCGTCACAAAATGTGTCCTCGCATAACATTTCCACTACAAAAACTTGACTAGCTTTAAACAAAACTTGATTAGCTTTAAACAAAACTTGATTAGCTTTAAACAAAACTTGATTAGCTTTAAACAAAACTTGATTAGCTTTAAACAAAACTTGA